TCCTCATTTATATATATATATATATATTTTTAAATATAATGTTGAAAGCATGTGAGAAGCTTACATTAAAGCCAACAATGTACATTACAACAATTAATATTTTAAGGAAATTATTAAACTAATCACAGAACATTATAATATGATTGTTAAAATCTAAATTCATAAAATTCAAATTTATTTATAATTTATATTACATTAAATTGTTTTACTATTTTCATAAAAATTAAAGCAAATCAATGATTCATCATTAACATTATTATCCTTAATTTACTAATAAGGCTATTCTATGAAAATGAAGTTTATCTATATTTGCATCAGCACAGGATACACAAGTAATGTATTAAATATTATAATACTGCTATAATTTCACACTGATTTAAGTATTATTAAAATATAATATACTTATTCAAATAAATAAATATATCTAGATAGGGTTTATATTGTAAAATTTTATAAATAAACTAGTAGATCAAAAATCAATTATATAACCAGACATTTTTTTATATGATTACAATTTGTTTACAAATAAAATAAAATTTTCTTTTAATTTGCATAAACTGATCCTAAAGCAAACATTTACTTTGGCTTTAACTTCAATGTTTTTAAGTTCCAAAAATATCTCTCTTTAATTTCGATTATTTTGTTAGGTAAACAAAGTTAATTTTCCCGAAGTAGAATTTAAAAGCAGACTTTCTCTTTCGTCAACTTTTAATGTTCATTGCTACAGAAGTCATATTCCAACTCATTAAAAAATAATAAAGAAAATTATGTTGTGAATTAATATTTTCTAAAAACTATTGTAAAAAAAACAAAAATAATTCAAAGTTTGTACTGTACATTTGAAAATTTACCATTAATAATAATAGTTCAGCTGCTTTATTTTATTGTCATTAAAATTAACTAATCAAATAATGAATGAAATGTTATTAATATTTGTGAAGCAAATTTAAATTTATATTTAACAAATTGTACCGAAGCCATTTAGTTATTTATTATTTTTAAATATCCTTAAAATTGCTATTTAAACAGAAATTAAGCTTAATAAATGACACTGAAATTCATCTTATTAACAAATAAGATAAATTTCTGTGTATTTAACAATTAAACTCTCATTTTATAAGAGAAATATTTAATTTTTAATATAAACAATTATTTATCCTTTTCTTTCATTTCAAATTTAAAATAAATTGATAAGCAATACATACCTATTCTGTCATAATACTTTGTTATTCATCTAAACTAGATTGTTTGAGGTTAAAAATTATCTAAAACAATTTATTAAGCAATCTAACAGTTTGAAACCAATAAATCACAGAATTTTATTGCATTTGTAATAGAAAAAGTACTTTAAAAAATCGAGAATATTAATTCTTAAAATATTTGTGCAGAACAATTCTAGTAGTACGTAAATTTTGTTTTCCAAAAAAGAAAAAAAAAACTATTCCACGTCTAAATTTTAAAAGACGGGCACCTCACCAACTATAAAACTAATCGTTGTCTGCAACTCGAAACTTATTACTTTTCCAATAATGACAGATTGGAAAACAGAACAGTCATCAGTTTCTGTAAACGAAAGTTTATTAACTTTTCGTTTACACAAAACCGATGACTTTTCCGCGAAATATTCTGCCACGATTGGTAAAAAAAGAAAAATCATACGTTAGTAGACGTACCAGACAAAGAGGTTCCTAGATCCAACGGTAGCGAGATCAGACCGAGCGAAACAAATTCGACACCATTCATTGTCAAAAGAATCAATGGCGATGCCTTTCGTTATATACCCGTGACGGGAAGTACCTATGTACTAGTAAAAAAAAATACAATACGACTTACAACGCACGCAACCGTCATTGGATGTTGGACTTTCCATGGGAAGTACTTATTGTTAGAACTTCCTCCTAGAAGCGGTCGGAAAGACGAACGAAAACGTCTTAATATTCTTCAAACAATTATAATTATCGCAATTGTAAATGTAACAGCTGATAGGCATTTTAAAACCCTCGAACATAGTTTAATACGAATGAAAATTATGATTACTTTTTATTTTAATTCTACTTAAACTTATTAAACACGTATATCTTCATAGCTCTGTATTTCGTATGGCGGAAATATCGATTTTCCGAATGATATAAGGGGATTTTAAAAGTAAATAACGGCAAAAATTTTACTTTTGCCCATCTCGGTACAAGATGTCAACAATTCTTTACTAAAAATTATAATGGCGAAAATCCTTAAAATACGTAATAATTAATATTAATTACCTTTCATAAATTTATATAGAATTTTCACAAGAAACTTACTAATTTTAACTTAAGAATAATCGCAATAACTTAATTATTTGGCATCGTGAAGAGAGAGGTATTTTCTCAAAATGGTGTCAAAAAGTCCCTAACGACTTTTTAGCAGTTGAAACTAAAAATAACACATTCATTTAGAGATACTCGAACCGAAAATTATTTTTAAAAAATCATACACAAGTATATATCTGCATTTAATTTATCCGTATTTTGCGAGTGTTGACGAACTTAATGTATTCATTCCTTCATTTCTACACTCGTGCCATTGGTAATTTTCGGAAATAGTTTTCGAAAGTTTCCACTAATTTCCATACCAATGCAACCATTCGCATACCTTACCTTCTATTAGACAAGCATTTCGTTGGTGCTCCCACATTTCTCGAAATCAATGAGCCGAAGCGAATTACCACAAAAATTTTAAATCTTAAGGATTTCTATGCTTAATTAGTTGTAGAAATAAATAATTGATACTCGAAATTTCCTATATTCTAGCTAATAATTTCCGTGCGCTGCAAATACTTACTTTTTAACTTTTTTAGGTTAGTAAAAATACCGAAAAACTAATTTACGGGCGTGCTTACTAGTTTTTTCTAATGCTTATTTTCCTCTTATTTCAATTATATTTTAATTTATTAAACAAAATTCGAATTTTAACAATATTTAGTGTGTATACCCATGCAGAAATCAATATGCAAAGAAGGAATTTACTTGACGTTTAAAGATAATAGTTCTTACCTGTTAATAAAATGTAAATGAACGATTTGGGATTTGTATCGATTCACTTGTTAACACCGAGATTCCGGCACAATAAAATTATATTGACGTCGAGGACTGTTGAGTAAAACGCCTCGATCCATACTATTCGCGATAAATTTTAGAATCATCATCTGATTCCAAGCAGTGATTCAGTTGGTAAACTGAACTGCTTTGTGGAAGATACAGTTTCCACAAGTAGGAGAATTTCTGCACTTTACCATGTGATATTCTTAAGCTCGAATTCGACGTATTGGCAAACTAAATGGCACACTTTGTGATCAACTTACTTTGCGATTTAGGTTTATCACCTGTCTTTTTTTCAATCAACTTCTTTACATTTATTTTAATTAAAGCGCATGAATTTCATTTTTTTGAATATCGTGATTGGAAGTCTAAAACTTGGGCACGCATTAACATTTTTAAAGATAAGCATGCTTGCTATATAGCACACAGACTGAAAAAAATGCTGCAATTCCTGATCTAGGTGAACGTTAAATGTCATTCTGTTAACAATGGATAACAAATATAAATATTTTATTTATACAGCGGTGGATTGAACAGAACCATTTGTAATTGTTGGTTGAACTAGTGAGCATAAAAACACCCCAAAACATGCATTAAAACTGTACCATTCTCTGAAACATTATTTGAATGGCCATCAAAAGTCAAAACTGTATTTATCCATTCATACACACAATTTCTACTAATGATATTCAATTTTATTCTCTTCCTGTATATTATTTATTTCTACTAAATTTTAGTTTTTATATTAGATTCAAAACTAAAGAGAGTTTTTAAATAAACTTTGAAACTAAAATTTTAAAAGATATGCATAAGAAAAACTACTTAATTGTAAGATATGATACTAAAAAAACACTTAAAAAAGCTAATATATTATGATTAACTGAAAATCTAGTCCAATGAATCTCTATTCACTTTGATATAATCTTTAGAAATATACAGTTATTTTTTTGTATTTTTAAAATATTCATATTTTCAAAAATATAAACATTATACAGATAATAGACTTTACACTGAATCTTAATCACATTAAATACATCATTTCATAATTAAAGCTGACAAAATATGCTTCAATGGATCAGACAACGCAGCAGCATGTTAATAAATTACCCATATTTTGTGTTTCTGAATTTTTAAATTAATGTGTCATATAAATGAAATGACTAATAAAATTAATCAGAAATATTTCTAAAAATTCTCAAAATTTTTATAAAATTAGATAAATTTTCTTCACATTGTTATTTAATATCAATGTGTTTTTACAAAATAATTGAAAATCATTAATGTTTATAATGACTTTTAATACAGATTAGTAGCTGCAAATTACTTAATAAAAATGATAAAATTAAAAAATAACTTATCATCATTAAAAAAACAATTTCCTCTGTAATAAGTTAAGCCAAGATTAAAATTATCTAATTATCTAATTAAATTAAAGGTTTAATTTATATGCATAATTATTTTATTTGGCATCATATAAATAATATATAAATATTAAAAAAAAGGAATCTTACATAATACATATGTAACCTACTTACAGGAAAGTTAAATAAAATAATTATCATCAATCTTATTTTTATTCTGCATGCAATGATCTCAAATATGTTAAAAGTAATAAATAAAAATTATTTAACAGTTTTTTTTGACACTTTTTATGTTAAACAACTAATGTTTTAATGTTTTAAACTTAAAAAAAGAAGTTACAAATTTCTTATTAAAGTTTATTCTAAAATAATTTTTCAAAATTTCTGTTTTAAATGCTATCATATGTAGCTTTTTCACTTACTTTATAATCCAAAATCTAAGAAATTTCTAATTAATCTTATAAAACTATATATGTTAAACTGCAATTATTTATTTTTATTTCAGAAAATATTTATATCATATCATACAGAAAGTTTATGAATCATCAATTTACCCTATCTGTACTATATATAAATATTTTTCCTCGTTTTATTTTTTAGAAAACAAAATTTTATGTAAAAAGAAATCAAAACGTACAGTCAACCCCCCTATAACACTGTTGACTATTCTGTTTTATATGAATTCCATGTTGTACGAGTCACTTAGATTTTACAAATACGTGAGCTGTTCACAGCACACGTATTTGTAAAATCTAAGTGACTCGTACAACATGAAATTCATATAAAACAGAATAGTCAACAGTGTTATAGGGGGGTTGACTATATAATGCATTGAAATTTTTTCTTTTTGAATAATTTAACAGCTAGGCACAATATGAAATATACCCAAAGTTACATGTCTATTTTTCAACATAAGAATACATATCTCTTGAGACATTTTGCCAAGGTTAATACCATTTTAATATACCTTGCCATAAAACTTTTTGATCTGCATACAGCATACAGCCAATTGTGCATGACCAGTTTCACTTCATCATCCAATTTGAAGCATTGCCCTAACAGGAATTTTTTCATGGTACATAACAGCTCAAGTCAAGTGCATACTGAAGGTGGATACTGAAATGTTACCAAGAAATAGTATGACATTTGCAGTATCTCTGTTGGGAATTTGTCATAAAGGGAATATAAGTTGCAATGATAAGTATGTAACATTTGAAACTGGATGTAACTTAAGTAAAAATAAAGATACCAGCAAGATAATTTACTAAATAAAAACAAAAAATAAACATTTTCAGCAATTTAAAATTGTCATCCAGTTGAAAAGCAGTCAAATATATAGAAAACTTTGAACATCAGTTTAAACTATGTGGACGTCAACAAAGATGTCGAATAGATATTACAAACTTATTATTTTAATATTATTTTAAACTTAAAATTTAACTATATGTTTATTTCAAAGATAAACCTTCATACTTTAAAGAATGTCTTGGCATCTCTGTAATTTATTGTGATGTTCAGAATAGTAGCTTTATAAATTTTGAGTTTCTAAAGAGATGCCATTTTTAGATTATATATATATTTATATTTAAAAAGTATAATAATCATTAAAAGTTGATCATCATCTTTGAAATCTTGTTTTCATTACATTTTTTCAGAACTTTCCTAAAAAAATTAGATTTGAGTTTTCTACCAAAAGTTGACAAATATAATTTAAAATTATAATCAGACCAGTATTGTAGTAGGGACTGTAAAATCAATCTTAATTCAAAAACTTTCTCAAAATGACAGTTTTTTCTTATACTGTTAAAATAATAATTTTATCATATACAGTGGGTGATCAGTTAACGAACAGATCACAAAACGAACAAATTGGATAACGAACACTTTCGCGAAANAAAAAATGGCATTCAATATTACTAAAAATGTTATTATGTTGAAAATTACCAACATAAACTAAGTGTTATAAATTGTTTAGTTCTATGCTAGAAAAAGAAAAAAATTCATGTCAAAATTTATTAATATTATAATGGAAAAGCTAATAAATAAATTAAAATTTACTCTTGCAGTTGTATTCTTTTCATGCAGGTGTTCTTCCCTTTCTCGATAAGCTAATTCTTTAAATTTCTTATGTTCTTCCTGTAAATTTGCCAATTCTGTTGTACTTTCTGTTAGTTGTTCTTGTAAATAAAATTTTTCCTAAAAATTCAAATCATTAATTATTTTTTTATTTCGTTGATAAATATTTTTGTAAAAGTTAAGTATTTATCAAACCTGTTTTAATTTTTCAGCATGTGCTTTGATTTGTTTAGCTTCTTCTTTTAGTTGCAAATAATCTTGCTGAAGATTGTATAACCTGAAAAATTTTAGAATATTGTCCTAAGTAAATTATTTATTAATAAGCTTTTTATCTTAATTGCAGTTTAAATAAAATTTCTTACCTAGTTGCATATTGATCTACTTCTTGACTCTTCTCTCTCTCATGTCTAGCCTGCAATAATAGTAATTTCAATAAGTACCAAGTAATGCAAATGAAGAAACTTAATTAAATACTTATTTAATTTAATTAATAATTTTGTATCATTGCACATAATTATTAATTAAAATCAAAACAATTTTTAATTATCAAATTTTGGAAGAAATTCAACTTTGCTTATTATTAACTAACTGACGAGCAAAATTGAATTGCTACTAAAAGTCACTATTAATACTTATCACCATCTTATTGGATTGGTTACATTGTTTAATGGCACAAGACTTCCCGGGCCAAACTATACCCCATCAACATCTTATAGCCAGAACTATAACTGCTCTATAAACTATTAAAATAATATTTATTCTACTTCAGTTTAACATTGGATTTTATCATAATAATTCACTTCAAACTTGTACACAAGATAAATTTATAATTATATCAATTTAAAAATTGATATAATTATAATAGTACTTCATTCAAATTATAATAAAAATGATTTTTGTAATGAAATCATACTCACAAGTGTAAAAAAAGCACTTGTCACAACTAATCAAACTGATAAATCAAAAAATAATACTATCACTACTAATTTGATCAATCAAAATCAAATTTATTATAACTTTTTTCCATTTACAGAATCTTATTATATTTGTAAAGAAAACAAAATTACAGTAGAACATCAATTATTCGAATACCAATCAACCAAAGCATCGGTTAACTGAAAGCCTTCCAGTCGAATTTCTGCTAGTGCTGTGACGCCGCAGCACTCTCCCCTCCCTGCCAACCTAAACTGTAGGTCTACTTTAATGTACTATTTTATGCAAGGTATGTATTTGTAAAACATGTGATACTGATACAAATTATATACAGTACAGTTTTGTGTTTAATACATTTTTTCGTAAATGATCAGTTATCCGAACAACCCCAGTTCTGAATTGTTTCGGATAATCCTACCGTACATTAACAAATTAAAAAAATAAAATATTAAAAGCTATAAACATTTTAAAGCAATAGTTCACATTGATAAAAACAGATCAATGAAAAATACTGAAGAATTTTAAACAATCTTCCACCGACCTCTTATCAAATTCAAACTTTCAAATTAGATATTTGAGATGTTTGTAAAATATGTTATAATTAATTTAAAACTTAATTAATTAATTTCAAATATATTTAGATCAAAATAAAAAAAAAAAACAAATATTTTATTGTATTAAAGCCACATCTAAGTAACAAACCTATCTTTTTTGGCAAAAAGAATTCTAAAAGACAAAACATGAATTCTCTGTACTTTTTCTAAAGGCAAATGTTACAAGTTAGAATTTTATACCATGTACAAAAGCTTCAATTTTTCAATAGCAGCTTCATTGATTAATATAAAATTCTTGGTATTGTAATTATTGTGACAAGCACACATATATATTTATTATAAAATATATTTCAAATTACCATCAAAATTAAAAAAATAGAAAATATAAGAAATTAAGATACCATTGCTTCTTTTAATTGCTTCTGTTCTTCTTTTAATCTTTCTTCTGATCTTATTTCCAATTCTCTGATTTGTTCTTCTAGTGAACGTATCCTGTTTCATTAAAAATTTTAAATAAATATAAAATTTATATATATATATATATATTTTTAAATATAATGTTGAAAGCATGTGAGAAGCTTACATTAAAGCCAACAATGTACATTACAACAATTAATATTTTAAGGAAATTATTAAACTAATCACAGAACATTATAATATGATTGTTAAAATCTAAATTCATAAAATTCAAATTTATTTATAATTTATATTACATTAAATTGTTTTACTATTTTCATAAAAATTAAAGCAAATCAATGATTCATCATTAACATTATTATCCTTAATTTACTAATAAGGCTATTCTATGAAAATGAAGTTTATCTATATTTGCATCAGCACAGGATACACAAGTAATGTATTAAATATTATAATACTGCTATAATTTCACACTGATTTAAGTATTATTAAAATATAATATACTTATTCAAATAAATAAATATATCTAGATAGGGTTTATATTGTAAAATTTTATAAATAAACTAGTAGATCAAAAATCAATTATATAACCAGACATTTTTTTATATGATTACAATTTGTTTACAAATAAAATAAAATTTTCTTTTAATTTGCATAAACTGATCCTAAAGCAAACATTTACTTTGGCTTTAACTTCAATGTTTTTAAGTTCCAAAAATATCTCTCTTTAATTTCGATTATTTTGTTAGGTAAACAAAGTTAATTTTCCCGAAGTAGAATTTAAAAGCAGACTTTCTCTTTCGTCAACTTTTAATGTTCATTGCTACAGAAGTCATATTCCAACTCATTAAAAAATAATAAAGAAAATTATGTTGTGAATTAATATTTTCTAAAAACTATTGTAAAAAAAACAAAAATAATTCAAAGTTTGTACTGTACATTTGAAAATTTACCATTAATAATAATAGTTCAGCTGCTTTATTTTATTGTCATTAAAATTAACTAATCAAATAATGAATGAAATGTTATTAATATTTGTGAAGCAAATTTAAATTTATATTTAACAAATTGTACCGAAGCCATTTAGTTATTTATTATTTTTAAATATCCTTAAAATTGCTATTTAAACAGAAATTAAGCTTAATAAATGACACTGAAATTCATCTTATTAACAAATAAGATAAATTTCTGTGTATTTAACAATTAAACTCTCATTTTATAAGAGAAATATTTAATTTTTAATATAAACAATTATTTATCCTTTTCTTTCATTTCAAATTTAAAATAAATTGATAAGCAATACATACCTATTCTGTCATAATACTTTGTTATTCATCTAAACTAGATTGTTTGAGGTTAAAAATTATCTAAAACAATTTATTAAGCAATCTAACAGTTTGAAACCAATAAATCACAGAATTTTATTGCATTTGTAATAGAAAAAGTACTTTAAAAAATCGAGAATATTAATTCTTAAAATATTTGTGCAGAACAATTCTAGTAGTACGTAAATTTTGTTTTCCAAAAAAGAAAAAAAAACTATTCCACGTCTAAATTTTAAAAGACGGGCACCTCACCAACTATAAAACTAATCGTTGTCTGCAACTCGAAACTTATTACTTTTCCAATAATGACAGATTGGAAAACAGAACAGTCATCAGTTTCTGTAAACGAAAGTTTATTAACTTTTCGTTTACACAAAACCGATGACTTTTCCGCGAAATATTCTGCCACGATTGGTAAAAAAAGAAAAATCATACGTTAGTAGACGTACCAGACAAAGAGGTTCCTAGATCCAACGGTAGCGAGATCAGACCGAGCGAAACAAATTCGACACCATTCATTGTCAAAAGAATCAATGGCGATGCCTTTCGTTATATACCCGTGACGGGAAGTACCTATGTACTAGTAAAAAAAAATACAATACGACTTACAACGCACGCAACCGTCATTGGATGTTGGACTTTCCATGGGAAGTACTTATTGTTAGAACTTCCTCCTAGAAGCGGTCGGAAAGACGAACGAAAACGTCTTAATATTCTTCAAACAATTATAATTATCGCAATTGTAAATGTAACAGCTGATAGGCATTTTAAAACCCTCGAACATAGTTTAATACGAATGAAAATTATGATTACTTTTTATTTTAATTCTACTTAAACTTATTAAACACGTATATCTTCATAGCTCTGTATTTCGTATGGCGGAAATATCGATTTTCCGAATGATATAAGGGGATTTTAAAAGTAAATAACGGCAAAAATTTTACTTTTGCCCATCTCGGTACAAGATGTCAACAATTCTTTACTAAAAATTATAATGGCGAAAATCCTTAAAATACGTAATAATTAATATTAATTACCTTTCATAAATTTATATAGAATTTTCACAAGAAACTTACTAATTTTAACTTAAGAATAATCGCAATAACTTAATTATTTGGCATCGTGAAGAGAGAGGTATTTTCTCAAAATGGTGTCAAAAAGTCCCTAACGACTTTTTAGCAGTTGAAACTAAAAATAACACATTCATTTAGAGATACTCGAACCGAAAATTATTTTTAAAAAATCATACACAAGTATATATCTGCATTTAATTTATCCGTATTTTGCGAGTGTTGACGAACTTAATGTATTCATTCCTTCATTTCTACACTCGTGCCATTGGTAATTTTCGGAAATAGTTTTCGAAAGTTTCCACTAATTTCCATACCAATGCAACCATTCGCATACCTTACCTTCTATTAGACAAGCATTTCCTTGGTGCTCCCACATTTCTCGAAATCAATGAGCCGAAGCGAATTACCACAAAAATTTTAAATCTTAAGGATTTCTATGCTTAATTAGTTGTAGAAATAAATAATTGATACTCGAAATTTCCTATATTCTAGCTAATAATTTCCGTGCGCTGCAAATACTTACTTTTTAACTTTTTTAGGTTAGTAAAAATACCGAAAAACTAATTTACGGGCGTGCTTACTAGTTTTTTCTAATGCTTATTTTCCTCTTATTTCAATTATATTTTAATTTATTAAACAAAATTCGAATTTTAACAATATTTAGTGTGTATACCCATGCAGAAATCAATATGCAAAGAAGGAATTTACTTGACGTTTAAAGATAATAGTTCTTACCTGTTAATAAAATGTAAATGAACGATTTGGGATTTGTATCGATTCACTTGTTAACACCGAGATTCCGGCACAATAAAATTATATTGACGTCGAGGACTGTTGAGTAAAACGCCTCGATCCATACTATTCGCGATAAATTTTAGAATCATCATCTGATTCCAAGCAGTGATTCAGTTGGTAAACTGAACTGCTTTGTGGAAGATACAGTTTCCACAAGTAGGAGAATTTCTGCACTTTACCATGTGATATTCTTAAGCTCGAATTCGACGTATTGGCAAACTAAATGGCACACTTTGTGATCAACTTACTTTGCGATTTAGGTTTATCACCTGTCTTTTTTTCAATCAACTTCTTTACATTTATTTTAATTAAAGCGCATGAATTTCATTTTTTTGAATATCGTGATTGGAAGTCTAAAACTTGGGCACGCATTAACATTTTTAAAGATAAGCATGCTTGCTATATAGCACACAGACTGAAAAAAATGCTGCAATTCCTGATCTAGGTGAACGTTAAATGTCATTCTGTTAACAATGGATAACAAATATAAATATTTTATTTATACAGCGGTGGATTGAACAGAACCATTTGTAATTGTTGGTTGAACTAGTGAGCATAAAAACACCCCAAAACATGCATTAAAACTGTACCATTCTCTGAAACATTATTTGAATGGCCATCAAAAGTCAAAACTGTATTTATCCATTCATACACACAATTTCTACTAATGATATTCAATTTTATTCTCTTCCTGTATATTATTTATTTCTACTAAATTTTAGTTTTTATATTAGATTCAAAACTAAAGAGAGTTTTTAAATAAACTTTGAAACTAAAATTTTAAAAGATATGCATAAGAAAAACTACTTAATTGTATATGATTGTTAA